GGCTGGATGAGAGGTGGGGTACACCCTAGCACCCTAGACTTTCTTGCTGTGAGGCAATGGTGTGCTTTGGAAAGTCTTTGAAATAACTTTCTATGTCAATAACTAACTGATGCTGTTTGAGGGGAGCTGGAGCCGAATGATTCAGTTTCTTTTATGTTATAGTGACAGAAGAAACAAAGATGTCTTGGAGAACAGTGAAGGAAATTGCAGGACTTCATGGAAAGTTTTGAAAATATGATCCTGTAACCTTATTGCAGTTTTCATTTGCACTCCTCCACATCCTGCTGGCTGTTAGGGTTAAACAGTCATGGGTTTCCAGCATGACTGTACTTTTGTGAGAACCACAAGACAAAACTTTGATTTGCATTTGGTATGAATTAATTATAACAATGATTAGTAATTAGCTGTTCATTTTATAGTTATAGTTATATTATGAATATATATTTATTTTAGAGTGTTTTTAGAGAGAAAGTGATATGTTTGTGTGTGTGTGTGTGTGTAGTGATTTACTTTAAGGCAAGAGATTACACACAACACACAAGTTCAAACACAAAAAAGCTAAACCAGTATACAAGAATTACTGGGGAAAAAGATTTTTCTTTAATCTAAACTCTTTGTCATTCTGCCGGTGTTTAGATACTGTAGACTGCTTGTTTTCCACCAGGGGAGCTTAACTTATCCTACTCCTGCTGGCACACAGAGGTTAAGATCAGGGGTGAGAGCTAATCAACTTAGAGCTTCTTCCTGTTTTGAGCTCGACCTTGGCCACCGATATCCAGGAGAAAGACAGAACGATGCAGAGAGACATTAACTCTGAGACAATAGTCGAGCAGCTTTCATATTAGCTTTGTGGGTGGTACGTGTTTCATAGTGACTGGTGGGTGGTTTGTGATGAGTGTGTGAGACAGATTGCCCACAACTTCTGAATGCTATTTTTTTTAAATTTCCCCCAAATTATTGCAAAAACATAAATTAAAAAATTAATGATTTAGTCCTGAGAATATGCATTAACTATGATTAGTTAATGCATATTCTCATTAACTATGAAGCGGAAGCGAATGGATGGATGGAATATGCATTAACTATGATGCAGTAAAATCCATAGAATAACCTTCAGGTTACTATGTCCTAATGAAACATATCCCTCGTTTTGGCAGCAGATAACAAAGGCAGCTGAGCATGTGACTCTCAGTGACGTAAGATGTGACCCCAATTAAGTCAAACCTTTAATAGACTTCTGTTTGTCTGCAGCTTTTCTTTGCAGACACATTGTAGACAATTTGAATTTTCTTTGTGCAAAAAGTGTAGTAGGTAAGGTTTATAAAGTATACATACACACTCACAAAGTGCCTGACACAAAATAATTACAATTAAAAACAAGTAAATGAATAAATAATTAAAAGAGAAATAATAAAACAGATACATAAATAACATGAGAGCATTAAGAAAGCGCAACTCCACCCAAATGGTGCGGATCACAATTACCACGATTAAAGCAGCTCGAGCTCTTATTGGTATCTATCACACAAAATTGTGATATTTTAAAACATGGGGACCCTAGACTGTTAACAAACAGATACTAAGCTCACCAGTGACAGCACTCAAACTCCACTGATACAAAAAGGCCTTCAATGAACAACAACAATGAACAATGCTGTGGATTGTGTCATTGCTGTGCATTGTTTCTGCTCTCAGAAAGCTTGGATTTGGGAACTCTGCTATGCAGGATCTGTGTTGTGGACGGTCCTCAGAGGTCCAGGCACACGCGGTAAAGTCACCGTTTGGTAAGCTAAGACTTTAACAGCCATTTCCCTCATAATTTATTGCAGTGCAATCTCAGTTTAATTTAATTTTTAGTATTTCCCCTGCATGACTGAGGAAGATATTCAGTGGATGTTCCCATGCAGCTCAGACTTTGGGAAGTAGCTCTCATGTATCTTTGAAATTAAAAAAAAGGTCATTGTGCAGCAATTTTTAAAGCACGGCACTTTTAAAAATTGCAAAACAAATCAAACTGAAGATACTGCATGGTCCCAGTCACCTGTCCTAGTGCGCAGTGAGTTCATTTATCCAGCTGTGTTTTTTTTATTAAGTGCTGTGAGTACGCTACAAAAACGATCAAGCTATAATATTTCATGCTTACCTGCAAGTTCTCCAGCCTCTCCTTTAGTGTCTGCAGGGTTTTTCCAGTCTGTTCTGGAGAGAAGGAACTGTGTTTGCTATATGACGAGCCCTTCCTGTTGTGGTCCAGTCTGTGGCTGCCGTGGGGATAATGGTGGTCATTGCTGTGATATCCTGAAGGCCCATGGCGCAGTGACAGTGATGCATGATGGCTGCCGTGATGTCCGTGATGGTCGTCATGGTGGGTACCGTGATGGTTGTTATGATTGTTATCGTGATGGTTTTCATGATGGCTATCGTGATGGCTATCGTGATGATTGTCGTGATGACTGTCATGGTGACCAGTGCCGTGGTGACCCCCAAAGCCCTCACATAAGGTGAGCTTAGCATTCAGCTCCCTGATTGTCTCTCGCTGGTCCAGGATGGTTTCCTTCTGCCTCACAAGGCTCTCGCGCAAGTGCAGAATAGTGGCTTTGGCCTCGTCGGACATCATGCCTCGCCTGCTCCCGCCATTGTGGTCACTGCTATGGCCGTTACTGCTTGGTCCATGGGGCACATTGGGTGGCGAGTAGCAGCTGGGATCTGCTTCTGGGGGAATGGGAGTACAAACAAATTTGGGGCTAATGCCGTAATCATATTCTATGCCAGGTAAACTACCTGCTGCTGCTGCACACGAAAGGAAGGAATAGAAAATAAGAGATCGTAGGGGGACGAAAGGGAGGACGAGCCCCAGAGTAGCTCCCACCCGTTGCATGTGCTTTGTAGACAAAGGCATTTGGCTCAGAGGACGGACGTCTCTGGCCATATCTGGTCAGAGTCCAAATTATTCCTCGAAAATTGACAGTCTTCAAAGGCTTTAGCTTTGTGGGGACAAACACCATCAATGGAAATCATTTGCTTCTGATTGAGAGGTGTTGGTGCTAATCATGTCAACAAAATAAATTCCCTTTGGAGGATAAGTGACAGAAACTCCAAGGAAGGGTTCTAAAAACACTGGGAACATTGGGAACAAACAGACTCCAGCTGCTTGTCTTCAAGAACACCTTTTAGAATCACACAAGCTTTCTTGGCTCCGTGGTAAGTTAACAGGTTGAGAAAGTTCAGCTGATAGATTCATCCACTTTGTCTGAGATGAGGTGCTGGGGCACTGCCAGACAGGTGATTTCTTCTGGCTTCAAAGACCTTCTGTGTTCGACGGCCAGGAATAATCCTTTTAACTTTGGCTTCTAACCATCCATCACATTGCCATTACCTACTGGGAGACAGAGAAAACAAGACGTCAACAAGACAAGTCAAGAAGAAGAGAGACACAATGGAAACAAACAGCTAGCTCAAGCTTTGACCATCTCCACTCATGGTTTTAAGTATTATTTACAGTGCAATCAATATATGATTCAGCCAACTGGAACAACGACAACAACAACAAACCCAAAAAGCTACAGGTTGTGGAGAAAGTAAGACTGTCAGGAGGCAAAGTGAGACAAAGCAGAGAAGTCAGAACAGGTTTAAAGGACAGGGATTGGGTTATGGCTGAAATAAGAGATAACTGGAGACCATCTTAATTACTAAGTTAGTTTCCGGTTCACACTCATCTTTGAACTTGACTGCAATATCGATGTAAACAAAACCCTAAAGAGTTTCATGACTCAATCATGGTTTTGATGGACTCATACTGAGAAGGAAAACTAGAAAAACCTTAAAAATCTGCTTTTGTTATAGTTCTTGCTGCAGGAAGGTACCAGAGCTGTTCAGCATCATACGTTGATCTCCACATATTAAAATGCTCATGCATGTGGTCAGCATGTTTTATTTTAACCAGCAGACTGCAGTTTAAGTTCAATGACTCACACACAGACAGACGCCACAGAGGGGAGGGCTGATTGGTGGTGGTGGTGGTGATTGGGGGTCTTCAGGGCTGCAGCAGGCCACAGTATAATCAGATTATGGTCAATTAATCTTCCGTCAAAGCCACAGGGCAATCATTCACATAATGAAAGCTGGTTTTCTGCTGAGACAAGGGCATGCCTGTTGAGCCCAGTCACTCACACGAGTCTCATGAATCAGTGTCAGGACTTGTCCGCCTTCAGCCTGCCATGACTGACTGTTTAAAAGCAGCACAGCGAGGAGAGACAGAGTCATACTCGAAGAAGAGGGACGTCCACATTATTATTGCACAGAAGAAAAGCATTCAACCACATCTACTGTACAATAGGTGTTCCTTATTCATGATGGACAACTAATAATAATGTATTAATGTTTTATTTTTTTTGTTTATACTTGTTCTGTTAGACCTGTACAGCAGAACAAGAAACATGCTCGTTGGTCTTGCCCGAGAGCGCGATGCAAAGCCAAGAAGAACAAGTTTCAGAACACACAGGAAAAGATAAGGAGCTTGTTCTTTCTAAGCTCCTTATCTTTAAACACCCACAACACACATTACATTAAGTACAAACATCCGATTTTCTGGCGCCGCCCTTTCTGTGACACTGTCCTTCTGAGAAAAACGACAATGACAAGACTTTTTTGAGATTTTCAGCATTTTTTTTAATTACATATTAGCTTAGAATTTCTGGGAAATATACCAGTCGTCTTTCTTGCCAAGGGGTAAATAAGAACAGCATGTGTGTACAGTAAATATGAAACTACAGCCAACAGCCAGACCAAAAACAGAAAGCCTGGCTTTGTCTAAAGGTGACAACATCCACCTTTCATTAAGTCTAAAGCTCACTAATTGATGAGCTCTAACTTGTTAGTCTAATTTGTACAAAGCCTGATAAGGTATGAATTGTCAGGAGATTTTGTTTACAGGATACAGTGACTCTCTGATTCTGACTTACTTCTGCTAAATTTGACAGAGGTTTCTCTTTTTTATCAGAAGAAAAGACCGATTTAGCATTGAGGCATTAATTCAAGTGCTTACTATCAAAAGGATAAACAGAACCATACAACGTACCACTTTAGTGTAATGATTTGGATGCATTTTAAATTTTAGAGAATTCTGGCTGATACTTTGATATAACATCTGAGATCATTAATCGTTTAATGGTGTCACATGTTTCATCATTAGAAACACCGCGGGATTCATCAGCCATTTCTTAAAAACAAACATGTTTTGTCGAGAGGCATTTAACGATGTGCACGCAGCCACTACGTGAGAGCCATAATCCAACAGTGTGCCCTGCTGTCTGATACTTAAGGACACCATTAGTGGAGATTTACACGACATGATACATCACTGAGACACGTGGCGTCACATGCTAGTCCAAACAGCATCGCTTTATGTACAACGTTATAATCATTGCTAGTGTTTATAACCTTCCTTTGTCAAAGACAGAACGGGTCGGAGAACCTTGGACCTGCATGCATTTTTTCTTTGCCTTGTGGGGAAATGATCAAGTTTCCATTGAGCCAACTTTTAATTTGGCTCTACATAACCTGGGCTGAGATCTAACTGTGCTCTTGTGAAAGTAGTACAACAACTTTAAATTTGCACATTTGCACAGACTGATAATGGTTGCTGTATTTCTAATTTGATATAGGTTTCCATGCTAGCATGCATGCAAAGACACAAATCAACACACCATTGTTGTGCCTTCATGTTCGTGATGTGTCTTGAAGTTTGCAGAACGCTATTAAAATTTAACAACCAGCATAAGTGAGACTCATGTTTATGGAGGCTGCACAGACACCATAATGGTTGACAGTATTATACAGCAAAGCTTACAAAATGTAGGTTGCTGTAACTGCTCCTGATGATTATAGTGGAGACTTTTAAAAGATATTGTTGTTTTTTAAGATTCATTATTGATCAAATAGGATAAACAATGAACTCAGCTATAATTTGGTGTCATATCAGTACTATACTCTGTCTTTGCCCACCGTGACCAAGATAGATGGCTGGATGGATTAATAAACAACAAAAGTTTATATTTAATTAATCCAGTTAGCCTACATTTAAAAAAAGACAATAAAATATGTTGTATGCTGTGTATAAAACTCATTTAAAAATCCATAAAGCAGGTTTTTAATGCTATAAAGCTGTTCTCCAGTACAATATAGAAAGGATGTTTTATTTTCACATTTAAAAAATATATTCTTAAAATGCAGAATATAATCGCACACATTAGGTTTCCTTAAAGAAATGATTATCTTTCGTCACTTTCACTCCTTCAGTAGTTAAAAGCACAAAGTGACAGCGCTCCTTTGCAGATTCACTACATCAAGCTGATCTCGTCATCTGATCAGCTCATGTTTCCCCCGTACGGATCACATCCGTGTCCTCATAGCTCCTGCTTCTTCTTTCAAGGGTGACGGTCAAATAGGATTGGTTGGATGTAATGCTGTTTAATGAGGGATTGACTGCAGGGTCCCGGTTCTGCCAGATGATCTCCCTCCAACCCACAAGTTGCTGTTGCCACACGTGTCACTGCAGAAGAAGCGCATGTGCTTGACACGCAGCCAGTAGCTTGTGTATTAATGTCATTTGCATTAATACACATTTTGCAGCTTTTCCTAACAGCTGTCTTATTTAAATTGCTCATACAATCGACTATTTCAGTGGCTTTTCCAGCATTTATAATAGATTTGAAAAGCTTTGTGTGTTGACAGAGCTCAAGTTCATTTTGTACTTGTGTCAGGTGACACAAAAAAGCCAGTTTTTATACTACACTTGTATTTTGCTTTGATTAGGATGTGCACTTTGAAGGCCCTCGCTTGGGTCAGTTATACACGTTCAGTTTCCAACTGAGTGGCCTTTCCCTATCTGCAGCTTAAAGGCCCCTCCCTCACCTCCCTACCCATCATTGCACGAGATCACCTCAGTGTCAGGTGCTCTGGCTGGACCCTAAGCTCTGTGCTGAGGCGAGCCATGTCCGTCTGAACGTGACTGGCCACAACACTGAACAGCCAAGTGGCACTTTGACGACTGATGATGCATAGATGTTGTGATATGTGTCAGAGCACCGACTCCTAACATTAAGCAAAAGGCTGCAGGACAGTTTCACTTGATTCACTGTAGAGTAACTGACACAATGCCTCACATGTAAATTGATACTGATTGGCCTTCACTGATTTAATAACCTCCAGGGCCGTGCTTCCGAAGAGGATTCATTTGACAAAATATAAATGTTTTGGAAAAGTCTGACGTGCTGCAGTAGTGTTTAAGTGTGTAAAATCTCACTGTCAGATGTTAGATTGCTATGGTGACCACTGTAGGATGAAACCATTTTAAACAATTAAGAGATTAAAAACATTTAGCCCGTACCTGTGGCTAGCCAACCCGATTTTACTACTGTTTACGTATAAAACATTTGTGTACACCCCATATTATTAAAATACTACAGAAAAAAAAAACTAAAAATGTTTTGCAGTATTTTACAATTTTATACACAAGTCACGTCACAAACTCTGGCTGCCATTCAGCTGTAGTGATCGTAACCTGTTGGTCTGGTTCATTTTTAGGAGACTGCAAAACTCTGTGAAGGGAGTCAGATACGAGGTGATGAATCGGTGAATCACTTCTGATCATGTGATTTCAAGGAAAGTTGTCGAGGATATCCTGAGCTTTTGCTGTTGCTAGCTGTTAACTGTTGTTAGCTAGAAGTTGATGTAGCATTGTTGGACGTGAACGCTTGTGTTTCATGTGGTGTGAGAATGCAATCAAACTGTTTATTGGTGAAAAAAAATGTGATTTTCAGGATACTCTAACTTTAACTGACATCATGTTAGCTCGTAACCAGCTGCTGTTGTTGTTTAGCTGGCTCATCAGCTGTCCAGAGACGGGATGGACTCTAATCTGCTGACTATCAGGACTACATGAGTATATTTATGTAACTTTTCATGTGTTACAGCCCTGACTTCAAAGCAGGAAGTGAGACTCGAGGTGAGGTTGAACTGAGGGAGGAAGGATCAGCTGTCGAAGAGGTGCATAAAGATAAGCAGATAGAGTTGGTGAAAACGTACATATATAAATGTTAAAGGGTCACAAAGGAACTTATTAGGCATACTGCGTATGTGGTTGGTCTCTAGTCACATTCGTAAAACATGATTAGGCAGAACGGCAAAGTCCATCCAAGTCACTTTATTTAAGACAGTGTTTGCTCCTACTGTATGTATTTTTAATGGATTCAGTTTAAGTGCATGAGAATGCATCAATTTGTTGGAAGACATAATTACACAAGTACAATGTTCTCTTTTTTGCTAAATAAACTTCGTGACATCTGACATATTTAAAGCCAACAGATGATTAGTCCCCAAAGTACTGTTGTATAAAAAATTAGTATAGAGTTTAAAAATGTATGCCTGGAGACACAGTCATTTTTCAGAAACTGCTGCATAAATGAAGAACAAATCAGTTTAAAAGCAATGCCATGTTTGTGCCTGACAGCATCTATCAAAGCCTCCATATATAAGATTACACACAAAAGAGATTTGGCAATCACATCCTGAGCAGCTGGTGCAGTGTGTACTTTGTATTAGCATAAAACTATGAGTGAAAGTAAGTTTTTAATAATTTTATCTGTTCTTATGTGAGGATACTCTTCATTATTAAAAGTTTGGTTAGGTATGTTATGCAAAAGAAAAGCCTCAGAGTGCGTTAATGAGCGAGTCTAAGTCCTAAAAGCAAATTATTATTTTCTTTTTTAGTTGTGAGATTAAAAAATATTGAATGCTCAGGTGGCATCTTTAACACCGTAACTGGTTGGCTTGTTTTTAAATTAAGTTGCATATTAAAATAATTCAAAAGGTCTGAATTTCAGTCAATATTTTTTAAGCTAGTGTTTCAACATTTAATGAAATAATAAACGAGTTAGTTTGTCACTTTAGATTTCATTATGAAATGCAATAGAATGACAGTTATTTAAAGAAAACATTACCTTATGTACCTGCTGTATCATATGTAGCTCGTTATTTTAATACAAGATTCAAACTAAACATTAGCTCTTCATACTGTAGCTTTAATAAATAATAAATAAAAAAGTATTTTAGTAGCAATATCATTACTCCCTATTAATATAATCACCAGTGGAAGAGTACGGAGCCCCGCAGGGGACATGGGAGAAAAAAAATTAAGACGGACTTTTGCGAGATCTCGCAAAAGTTTTAGCCGCATTCTTCGGACGCCGGCTCGAAGCCGACCGGGAGGTCGAGGCACGATGTGCCGGGAAAGCGGTGTTCCTCCCGGCTGTAGTAGGTCTCGACCTCCCGTTAGCTCGAAGCTAACGGGAGGTCGAAGGCCGAAGAATGCGGCTAAAACTTTTGCGAGATCTCGCAAAACTTTTGCGAGATCCCGAGTTTGTTTTGCGAGATCTCGCAAAAGTCCGTCTTAATTTTTTTTCTCCCATGTCCCCTGCGGGGCTCCGTAGAAGAGCCTATGAGCCACTGTTGTTTTTATATTGGGGACATAGGATATAACATCCTCTATTCCCCGGCAAAAATTAATTTAAACGTCTTATTCACAATGACACCATATTTAAAAGTCCTTATGTGTCTTTGTTGTTGTTCAGATTTGTATTTTGTTGTTAAAGCTTTACGTTTGTCAACATGAAAAAATGCCGAAAAATTCCTGACATCGCTCGGTAAAAACAAAGCTGCATGCTTGAAGTCTAGTAAAATAGGACAACGTTTAACATGACCGCTGCACCAAATTACAGAGACATATTACTAAGCATTATAAAATAAACCTGCTTAGCTGACTGTGTTTTGTTTCCACAGACATGCAAATTGTTCCAAATTACAACTGAAATGACTCCTCAGCCCTGGAAATATACAGCAGCCATATTGTTACAGTGAACCAGCTGACAGACAACAGAATGTGATCAAGCATGACGACAAGCACTGTGCCGATATGTCGACTCACACACTAAAGCTCTCTGCCTTCCTGTCAGTACAAAGCAGGCAACATTTCAACAACTGGAAAAAGGATAAAGAAGAGTTACAGGTGTCCCTTTTGAACCTAATCATGCCTCACACTCACACAGCAACATGAAATTACAGTTTAGAGCTGGTTGGGTCAACAGCCCTCTACTGTGAAGCCGCTAAGTGCGCCGGTTGCTGAGAGGCTTTGTCGCACCCTTGTACTTTTTAATTTAGTGCATTTTGATGTCAGTAAATTAGCCAACTGTCATTTTCACAAAAGTGAAGCCTTTTACTAAAACCTGAGCATCATTTCCGACACTCGTTTCTGTGAACTTTGTCCTCAGTCACTACCCACAGCACATGCTCATAGGCGACGAAAGGCTTGTAAATCTTGTATACCAACAGTTTTGCCTTCAGTGTGAAAGACCAGTACGCCATCAAAATCACTACACATCTCACTCTAATCGGCCTGTCAAGATCAACTTGTCTCAAAACTTTACATAAAGTCCACATTTTATAAGGAAACATGGTTTAAAATTGTGGGAAAAAACATGTTGTAATAATAACTCTACTTTCCACCAGCGCATAATGTAAATGTTCATTACACAAACTCAGCCATTCCCTTTGTGTCAAGAATTAACAAGTTAACACATTACCTGACTTTACTATGGTCCAACTTCAGAGACCACCCTCAGTGGGGTCACCATAATCAGGATGACTGGGAATAGTTGTGGCAGTGTGGAAAGCTCCTTGGCTCAAGTGTTGAGAGTGGCAACATTAATCAACTAACGTGACAATACACTGGCTTAGCATAACAGTTCATGTGGATGGCGCCATGCAGGAAGCTCAGGTTTCTTAACAAAGGTCCAGACAGTGCAGTGTAACAGGCGGGTCTTTGACTAGAAGGCATTTTAATTCTCACGGGTAGTAAAT